CAGATAAAACAGCTCGTGTTTAGAGGACGGAACTTCCATGATTAAAGTTACTCACAATTCTCTTCAAAGTTAAATAAAATCTCTAGAAAATATAATTCGTACATTTCAACAAGGAATAAAGAACGGTTCAAAGTTGTTTTAAAAAGGAAATGAAAATTGTGTACGTTCCTTCGCGATACGATAAAAAAGAAAGGACACTTTTTACTTCCATAGGAACGTATTTTATTTACAAGATTATACCTCTGTTTTAAACGCGCGATTAATGGAACGTCGAGGGTTTCCCGATGAAAGGTAGACACCGAAAAGGTTTTCACTGTTGCGGGACAAGTTTTACCGCAGGGTTCTGCGCGAAACCACAGGAACAGAATTACGAGATGGGTAGGAAGACGCGAAAATCGATTAATGGTTGAACTGCCATTGCGGTTTTACGACAAGAAATCGATATGGCTCCTTTATTAAATTGGCGCAAAGGATGAAGAAATTCAATGAACATAAAATTTTAGACGCTAGAATCACGGTTTTCGTAATTTTCAAAACAATTCAAGCTTCGTATACTGTATCTCACAGAACAGGATGGATATCGTTCTTATTTAATCTCCATCAAAAATATAAGTTATTGTTAATACTATTTTACACTTAAATGATCAGAAAAAATATGGCACAAGGGACAAAATCTTTAATTTGAGGAAATTTTGGATAAAGTTAAACTCTAATAGAAAATTCTATACGCTTCTAAACGTTAAATTTCTTATACTATATTAGAAAAAATATAATCTACGAAAGTGCTACGAATGACAAAACCTTTGATTTAAAGGAATTGTAGATAAAATTGAAGTTTAATAAAGAATTTTGTTTGCTTTGAAACATTAAGACATATTCCTATACTTGTTAGGAATTGAAAATTCATAACAAAATCTTGTATTTGTAAAGGGTGGTTGGTCGTGTGGTAATTTAATGACGAGATTACTCGATATTGAAACCGTCAAATATATTTTAAAATAATTATAAATACAGAGACGACCGTAGATTGCTCGATACTGGTCGTTAAAAAAATGTTCGCTAAGACGCTTGGTACTAACTGTGTTGTATGTGTTGATCGCTAATAAAATCGCTCGAGACTGAGATTGAAAAAACTGGTCACTTTACGATCGTGTTCCTTTATTTGTCTGGTCGCGAGGGTACCGGTAAATTTCCATTCGCCTTCGTTAGACGATTACACGTAGCGGCGACATTGTTTTGCCTGGAGTTGGTTTATTATTACATTATGTATATCCTAACGATATTGGTATTCCGAGGCAAAATAACAGCGTGGCTCGAATAGTCCTCTAGCTCATGTGTCGCTACATATTTAAAAAGGAATATACTTGTAACACCTTTTCACTGAAGGTTCTACTTTATTTAATTAAATGAATAGTATTATTAAGAGAAACACTAACTGATTATATTAGTATTTATTATGCTATAGTAGTATGGAGACAATATACATTAAAAACAGAATGAAGCACGCGTTGAGTGAAGAACACGTGACTAACAGTTTCGGCGGGAAGTCAGCAGCGCAGTAATAGCACGTGTGTAGCGTGAATATAACATGATGTTTCTAACCTCAATTTCTATATTCCACAAATAAAAGTTTAAAATGTTAGAAGAGTATTTATTAAAACATCACTTAGTGGAACTCGAAGAGATTTTAGATAACGCAGATCCTAGTTGCTACTACTCTATCTATATAAAGTGGGTATGTTACAATTGCATTTACTCTTCGTATGATACGAAGGATACTTTCCTTACAGTTTCGTATCGCTATTCGAGGATAATGCGGATGTAGCACAGAAAATTTTACGATATCCTAGATATTACTTACCATTCTGTGACGAATCGGTAGTGACAGTACAAGAAGAAATAGCAAAACCAGAACAAATTATTAAAAAAAGGGTAATAATGACCACTATATTAGTTTTATTAAAATTTTAGTATTTTTAATCTATTATTTTAAGAATATATTTGGAAATAGGTTCGTATTAGAGTCACTGCTGTGCCAGTCACACTGGACCAAGGACAAATTGGCCAATTAGTTTCAACAAGTGGCATCATTGTTAGGATCTCCCAACCAACAATATTAAAAACTGTTCAACGAATGAATTGCAAAAAATGTAAACATGTTACTTTTATTAAAGTAAGTGTACTAGTAAATGTAAATAATATACATTTTGTAACATTTGTTAGCTGATAACATAAATGCTATCTACTTCTAGTATGAATGGGAAAGACAGGCTTTTGAAGATATTACAGACTGTGAAGCATGTCATGCACCAAAGCTCACAGCTCTGCCGGGTTTTGAGCTGGACGATTCCTCAGATTACCAGGAAATAGGAGTCCAAGTATATTATCGCTTTAATTTTATAGTTATCTCTTGCCATGTTCATCATTAACTTTCAATTCTCTTGATTAGGAAAAGGGTAAAATAGACTCAAATAAATCGTTGACAGAGGAACTGAGAATTATCTTGCTGGATGATTTAGTTGATAGATGTAGGCCAGGAGATCATGTTGAGATTAGGTGAATAACTTGGTTACCATTTATATATGTTACAAATAAAAACTACTCCTTTTAATTATAATATGTCCTACACTTCTCCCCTAGTGGTGTTGTGATAAGAATATGGGGTCCCTTAGAGGTCGGTGAACGTTTAGAAGCAACAACTATGATGCTAGCGAATAGCATTGTAGTACGACGCAAGATATCCGAGACCTCTTCTTCGCAAGAGATGAGAGATGTTTTTAAGCGTTATTGGGAAAAGTATAGCGATAATCCTTTGCTTGGTAGAGACAATATTATCACATCTATTTGTCCACAGGTATCGATTTATTTACAATGTAAATGAACAAAAAAAAAAAAGAATAATAGAATAGAAAATAGATATATATGGCACCATTTATACAAAAATTATTTCAAGCTCTATGGCATGTATACTGCAAAATTGGCGTTAGCTGTAGTTTTAGCTGGTGGCGTGCCAAAGTGTAACGAAAGCGGTAATTATGCATCACTTTTGTTTTTATTATCTTCTTAACATAAAATACAATCACATTAAACGAAACAAGGAACACGTGTACGAGGAGAACCTCATCTTCTTTTGGTCGGTGACCCTGGAACTGGCAAATCCCAGTTGCTTCGTGCAGCATCTCGTTTGGCTATAAGGTCGGTTCTTACGACCGGTGTTGGATCGACTGCAGCTGGTCTCACAGCAGCTGCTGTCAGAGTTAGTTAATATACACTATATCTTCTATTTTTAACAATTAATATCCATATCATTTTCTTCACGCGTATATGTTACAGGATTCAGAGGGCTGGCATCTAGAAGCTGGAGCCCTAGTATTAGCCGATGGAGGAGTCTGCTGCGTAGATGAGTTCACAACCATGAGTTCAGAAGATAGGACATCCGTTCACGAGGCTATGGAACAGCAAACGATATCAATCGCCAAAGCTGGGTTAGTTAGCACGTTAAACTCAAGATGTTCAGTGATCGCAGCCATTAATCCAGTTGGAGGTCAGTTTACCGATGATGAAGAATGGGAAACGAATTTAGGTGATCCTCTTTTATCTCGTTTCGATTTAATCTTGCTTTTGAAAGACAATAGAAATGCAGGATGGGACCGGTTGACGTCCGACCATATTCTGAAGGCTGCTTACGAAAAGAAAGAGAACACTATTCAAACGTAATAAAAATTTATGCGGTCGATTCTTTTGTTATATACTAAATCATTAATTCGAGTGAATGTTTCACAGAGACTCGAAAAATCACATAGAACTTTTAAATACCGAAGACTTATGGAAAGAGGATACATTGCGAGAATACTTGGCCTACGTGCATTCTTTACAACCGAAACTAACAAAAGAAGCGGAAATGGTACTTCGAGCGACTTATCTTTATCACAGATCTCATCCAGATAGGAGGGAAGAAAGAACAACAGTTCGACTTTTGGACAGTCTTATTAGGTAACAAGAGACAAGACATTTAAAGCATTTTTTGTTTTGAACATTCAGCGTAACAATTTTCTTCAGACTAGCCGAAGGACACGCTAGATTAATGTACAGATCGGATATAGAAATTATGGATGCTATATTCGTAGCGAAATTAATCGGAACGGGATCTACGGACGAGATCAATCTTAGTTCATTTCCAATAGATCCAATTGCAACGTATCGATCTGAAGGTGCGTTTGTATTTTTATAATGTATACTTTGTTTGTCGAATTGAAAGATAAGCTTATCTAATCATGGATCAAAATTGATGATTTATAATTCCGGAATTTTAGGTAAAATATTGTTGAAGACTATTGGTTTACAGAATCTGGAAAATTTATTATAAATATTTATTATGTTAAATGGAAAAATTTTTGTGCTAATTATTGGTGTGAAAGAGATCTCCTTTTTTATGAGCAAACTAAATTTTTATTTATCGCTTTTCTTTTCTTTGCTTCTTACATAAGTAAATGTACCAGTGCGTATTTATAAAATTTAAATAACATTTCTTTCTTACTTTTCTTTTTTTATACAAAACGAAGTCATTTATTGTTCATTGCTATACAATGAAGGTATGTAATAATTATTGCAATCAATTTAAACAGCATTATATATGTAAAAATATATTTAAAGAGCACAATATCTTTGTTTGATTAGTCTCAGTACATAACAAAGATCCTTCAACCACTCTTTTCCTATATTTCTGAACATTTTTTACTTGACATAAACTTTCCAGTTCATTGAGACATTTAGATTACACCCAATTAGGTAACAGCAACGATATAAACCAATTTTCATACTCTACAAATAATTTATCGATAATTAATAAATAATTAAACAATATGTAAAAGTAATATTCGGTTTCTTTTCAAAATATCCATTATCTATATATATTTATATATATAATATTTATATGTATATATAGTTTAAACTTTACAAAGTTATAGAATATTTTAAGGATCTAAGTAACAAGTACTTAATTTAAAGAAAGGCCATATAATGTATATTACACGATTTAAGGAATGTGTAGGACGTTATTAAAGGTAGACAAAAGGATGGATGCCTTATATTCCCCTACCATCGGTAGTTAAATTAACGTTCCGTAAAACAAGAAATTGAAATCTATACTCGTGGATATAACATATTTTCATGTTAAATTAAATTATTTTGATTTTCAACACAATCGAACGCTTTCCATTTATATAAAGCCGCACATGATTACAACGTCATGATTAAAGTGCCACTAAAATACAAAAGCTAGTAAATATGTTTATGTATATAGAAGCAATAATATAAGAATTAGTGATATGATTATTATTAGCTCGTTTCTTTACTAGATGATAAATTATTTTGTGACTCATTTCCAATCAATACAAACAAAAAGGATATACACATCATATATGTTTTAAATAATACACATACATACCAACATAATAATTGTGTTAATCCGATTTAAAATACTGTTATGGGGAATAAAGAAATACATAAATCGTTAAACACTTGCCAAGAGTAAATTTGTGATTATTCATTTGAGATCTTTCGATAAACGATACGAATCAATCATTTTTCGGAGAAAACGTGCATGAATAAAACTTCGAACGTATCAAGAAAAAAAGAAAAATGATTTTATGAATGAGTAGTATAATTTTCTCGTTTTCACTGTAAGAATAGAATCTTCTATGGAACATTATAATTTCGAGTCCCGAGTAATGCACATTATTAAGATGATCTACACATACGATTTTACTGAGTAGTAAAACGTCAGAGAGTACCTGAAGAATAAATCCTGAAGTGTTGTGAAATCACTTTAATAGCGTGGTTGATTAGCAGCATTAGCCATTTGGGCGCGGACAGCAGTGGCAGCGACGTTACTTGCCGCATTTTGCACATGTTCATTGCGTAAGAAAGTTGTGGCGAATTCTTGTTGTGCCTTCGAAACGCTCGCATCCGACGAGCGATATATGCGATGAATCTATAGATCATATTTTTTTGATATTTTACTATTTAAAGACCATAAGTTAAAAACATGATAAAGACAAAAGACGATTTTCTTTTTTGATATGTTATCAATTCGATATCAAAAATGGCTTTGCATCTGATTTTGTACTCTCTTGAATATGTAAAAAACATTTATAACATCAGTTGTGTAAATCAATATTAGTGAAATTAAACTAGCATAACAACTAAATTAATATTATTTGTAGATTTATCATAACATCGTAGATTTATTCTTTTCCTAACTATTATGTTTTGAAATGCTGTTTAATCATTATATTGAACAAATATTAAGAAATCAACAAAACTGGACTTATCATATTTTTCTTCTATGTTCTCCATTTGCAAAAATTATTTTTCAGAGCTGAAGAAATTTGACACTATACCTTAGTTAATAATAGCAGATCTCCGCATGCAGCAAGTACGAAACAAAGAGCAATAAGGAGCAGTAGAAAGCCAAGGAATATTCCTTTAGCTGTGTTGTCGAACATCGTGATAGCAAGTATAATACCGCTGTGATAATAAAACAATTGAAACATTAACATATTATCTCTAGAATAAATCTGTATCTTTGGGAATTAAAATATTACCAAGTTCCTGAGCCAGGAATGCCTATGGCCTGAATCCCTGTGACGATTAATTGAAAGAAGAAGACGAAGAAAAATACCATGAAGTTAAAAGAGCTATCGTTTCTAAAAGAGGAAAAATATATTGAATAATAACACTAATACTGAGACATTGATGTATGATCGATTACATACTTGAAAGCTTTGTATGCTGGTCTGAACCAGCATAAAAACGAGAATGGAGTAAAAAGTATTAAATACAATATCCCAAGACCAAATGTTGAAAATGCTCCGGTACATAACAGTAGAATAAATCCACCAATAACGTTTAGAATTAAAATACAGCCGTGAACTGTAATTTAAAATTATTTGTTATTTACTATACTATTTTATTCATTAAAATTAGATGCAATACATTAAACTTACACATCCATAAACGGTATAGTTGTCTGACTACCTTCTGAAAATCTGTATGAATTTCCACATCGATATCTTGGTGGAAGCAAGGTTGGCAGCAGCATTTGTCAGGTAGAGGTGGCCAATTGTTCCTTTTTGCTTTGAAAACCAAGTATTTTCAATTGTTAAACAATAATAAAGGAAATATATTAAACATTGACTTGTTATATTCTGGACTCACGATAGTATGGTGTATTCCTTATGTCTTCTTCTGTTCCTGCTTTCCATCCTGACTCTGATCTTTGCTAAAATTTCATAATTTTTCAAGACAAACTTAACACGATATTAAAATTCATTATAAAATATTATAAAACAGAACTTCATGTACATTTACATCTGAAGTAGGGGATAATGTGCTTCCAAGTGATGTATTCACTGTTTGCTGTGGAGTACGGACATAATTAGTTGCAGGAGGTTCCTGATTTGAAGGCTGAAGTGTAGCTGGTTGCTGTGTAGCTCCAATACCTCCATAGATGGGAGGATTTGATGCACCTCTGACTTGTGCAGTTCCTTGTGAACCTTGTTCCGCGAAAGGATTGTAATCTTCTAAACCCCTATTAGCTGGAGTAGAAGATACAGCCCTTCTTATCGCAGGATCCTATTTAAAAAAATAATTGATTGTTAACTACTTCTTTTATATCGCAGTCAACCTTCACAAAGAAAGTTAAATATACTAACACTTAAAGAATGTGTATTTATAGAGGATGTCTATATATAGAGTCAACAGCAATTCAAAGACTTCCTTTATGGCATACATGTCTCTTTCACAATAAATTTGAAGCAGTAATTTTTTATTTACAAAACAATAAAAAATAATAATAATAGTATATATATGATAATCTTAGTATCATACTTAACATACATAATAAAACAAGACTAAAAAATAAGGCATACAAATATCAAATAATTAAGATACTAATATCAAGACATAATAAAAGTCTTCGCCTACAGTCTTGGCAAAAAATAATAATGATTCGATAAAACACGTTTATTTCGATTTGACAGTTTTATAGGCAATATTGAACAAGATAGTACGTGCCTCGGGTCTAGCCGCTAATGAAATACTCACTGAAAATGGATCATTGATATTCGGTTCTCCAAAAGGATTTTCGTCAAAGCCGGACATCTTAGCCACTGCTCACTGAAGTGTTCTTCAATGCACCGTCAAAAATTAATAAGACTTTACTACACTCAAAATATTCTTATCTAAACTTGTCTATACTTGATGATCCATTGCGTTGCGGTTACCTATGGTATCGTCGGTACTTTAGCCATGTAGCATACTACAGATAAAGCAACTCCTGCCACGTCTATCGCACACATGTTATGAACGATTCACACGCCATTTCGAAACATTATATCTAGTTTCCAAGGCGTTAGTAACATAATTATTTAACACCAATAACAATCACAGAATTAGAATAATTTCTTCAGTGTAATACATATGCATCTTGTCTTTGAATTTGCATAACATTTCTAGTTATTTATTTTAATCCTTTAAAACAAAAAATTAACATAACAGAATGAGTAGTTCTGTGCTATATGAGGAACTTAGGCATTGGAGAGGACAACCGTGTTAGCAGTATATATTGTAATTCATAACGAAATCTAAATACATATATACATATATATTAATTAATGTAAATTTAATTTAATTTGAATAACATCAAATTACTTAAGAAAAATGAACTAAAAAATGTTTTAACTAGGTATTATATTCATGCAAACGTACAATGATCTATATATATATGATGATCTATATTATTATTCAAGCAACTATATATAAAACCTATATAATATCAACCATATAACAGCAACAGTATAATAACAACTATACCAAACAACTATATAAGCCGATTATTTCAGGACATTTTTTCAATTTATATTCTCAAAACCAATAGATTTCGAAAAATTTCTTGAACTTATTAATTGTACAACATGTACTGTACAACATGGCTTGTACAAAGTCAACAGGTAAGTATATAAAAAGTAACTATCTACATAAACACAAAAATTTAAAAGAACTTTTACAAAACATTCACCTGTTTACAACGTGGTGATACAAAAAAAGTAAGATGTGCTTATGTATATAAAGTAAGTATACAAGGTAAGTCGATAAGCTAAGTATATAATCTAAGTATATAAACGAAGCATATAAGATAAATGTACAAGGTAAGCATATAGGGTAAGCATAAACGGAAAGTACATATAGAATAAAATTATCAAAAAGCGAATAAAAATATGACTTGCAAGGAGATGGAACGCCACTCTACATCAAACGGGTCGCCGAATACGGCATTTTTATCATATATCAAATCACATATATATATCACATATCAAATTATTTCATCTTACGGAGCTGGATACATTGTAAAACATTAAAATGAAGATTTACAGAAGATTTACACATTACAAGATCTACAGAAATTACATACGTACATGAAATATAAAATGGACACTATATTTTTTTTATCTTCTTCAAATTCGTTAATATCTTTCCCCACACCTGCACATAGAAGAAATGCAATGAAAACTATAGGAGACCGAAGTGGGAAATTATACAATCCCATTATAGCGAACTTGAAATGTTATAAAATACGCGGATCTACAGACATAAATAGGGTGAAGTGAAACAAAGGCAGTTTCATAGGTAATAGGACTGACGCAGGCGCAATCTGTATGATAGAACGATAGATAAAGTAGCGTTATAGTAGCGGAACTACCAGTCGCTATGCGCTTACCCCTGTACGTGAAGTGCTTTTTTGCATTGATTGTTACCCTGTGTCGTGCATTTTTGCGTAGAGAAAATCGTTGGAAAAAGATTCTACTTGAATTGTCAAACGTATCTGATAGGGACAGTGGACAAGAAATTTAAGAAAAAATCCAATTTCTCTACGGCAATGAGATGGACGGAAGGGGCGTGATTATTTTTAAACATGTACGCTTATCTTCAATTCATTTAAATAAAAAGAAAGAAAACCGAATTTAGGAAAGAAATATTCGAATAAATTGTTTAATTACTAACTTAGTATTTCCCTGTTTTAATCGCTTTTAAAATAAATAAAATTTATAATTAGTATAGGGAGGATAATTTAAAATTTGAAATTTATTTTGAATTATAAATATGTGCAAGAGAATTATAGCATATTATAAGTTGTAAATGAGTAATCAAACATTGTTTGCAGAATGGATGTAAGTTCACTGGTACCAGCAGGTTTTCAAGCGGGCCAAGTGGATCTGTGCGAGGTCCAGGCTGGTTACAATAAATTCTCCGAAAATTTGCGAAAATTCACGCCGCAGGCTATACAGTGCGCGATCTTTTGCGGTGGCTCTAGATGCAAATATGAAAACTCGAAAGCGTGGCCGCCAGTGCACATGGCGATACAGAACATATTTTCGCATTGGTAAGGTCACGATAAAAATTTATGGAAACCTATTCAAATTTTATTTTTCATATTCGCGGACTCGCGTATAATAAAACATCTGTTTTGTATCCGTATGTCGAACTACAATTTTGCAAATCTGTTCGTTTTTATCTTTATTCCGAAGAGAAATTGAATCGATTAATATCACGACGCGATAGAGTACCGTGAACAGACGGAATTAATCTAATCACGGAATCTAATATGTTACTCGTAAATTAAATTTTAATTACAGTAAAATCTTGATTACCAGAATACTGGACCGATTAATGGAAAATTTGGGGATGTTTATTTGAAAAAAACGTTGGAAAACAAATGTAAAAATTAAAAGACATAGTTTTTCATTCATATGGTTTTATTCTTGTTTGATATTAGTATTTCTAAAACGCTTTGAAACGAATAATTTTTTTTATACGAAGATATTTTAACAAAGTTATTACGTGAACAACGTGTCATAATAATTATTTTGAAATTAATTAATGTAAAATTAATTTCGAGTACTCGAGCTTCTACTGTACTTGTGAACAATATTTTTTGTTTGATTAAATAAAATAATTAGGGACAGTTCGTTCATTTAAATCTTATAATATTGATAATGATAATTCGATTGTCTCCTAAATTGATTTTAAAAGAAATGGTAATTATTCCAAAGCAGAAACATCTGTTTGTTTGAATGAAATGATCAGCAGCATTTATTGAAATTCTCTAGTAACGATGGATCTGATTTTCTTCTACAATGATTTTTCCTTTTTTCTTATCTGTAATGACTTCAAAATGGTAATAACGCCAAATTCTATTTGATCAAATAAAGTGACTAGCGTCATGAATTTGGAGGTTTAGCAAGGAATGTAAGGGTCGATAATTCTTCAGGGTGACAGACGACGTACTCGCGATGGCACGACCGAACACCGCACAGATAATAAAAAAGGACATAATCGCACAGTTTCAAGGGTGGAGTATAAAAACCATAGTAAACCTACAAACGCCTGGCGAGCATGCAAGCTGCGGTGGTCCTCTCGAAGAAAGTGGCTTTACTTATGACCCGAATGTCTTCATGAAACATAGCAGTAGGTATTAGAACGTTAAAACAATAGCTTCAACCATAAATACAAAAATAGAAAAGAAACATTGCATCATGCGAACCTGATTAATTAAAATGTACGAATAAAAAAATCAATTACGAAGTTTCCATAAATTGAAAAGTGGAAAAAAGAGATGACATTGAAAATACTATAAAAAATTTACGTCAAAATTACCGATTATTTATATCATTTACTTTTCAATAATTTTTTGGAAGGAGCGGACATTAACCACTTACACATTTCATAAAAATGTATGAAACTTGATTAATTCGAAAGGTTCATATTTTATTTGAATAAATATCGTACATGATCGATCATAAGTTACATAGTGTTGAAAAGTACCTCAAAATAAAATTAATATTTAATATTAACTCCTTTATGATCCAGGTTTTGTACATACAATATTATGTTTTTGTGAAGTGAATTAAATTAATATTAATTCAATTAACTATAAATATATTTGTCTTCTGTAAAATGGTTCCAATTGTACTGCATTATAAATTCTTCTTTATAAAAACGTCAGAGAAAAACTTTTCCCACAACCCAAGGAATATTCAATTCAGAAAGGGTTAATAGCATGATAAATAGAATGGACAATAAGGGTAATAAAAGCATTAAAATACAGGAATTACATGAATAATAATTACATATTTAACCGCGCGACGAAATTGAGTTATACGTAAATGAAGACTAAACTTGTAAAACAGTTTCATAGGAATCAGTGTCGGTTCTGGTGAGGTAGATCGAAGAAGTTTAGCTGTAACATGCAATGCAGCAGAATCGTGTAACCATGCAGACGAAACAAAACTCAATTTCGTCCACGGTCATATAAATATTATTTCTCGAATCACATTTCCCTCCCCTTAAATACCAAAAGATGACAATTCCATAATTACGACTTGGCGATTTGTTGCAGTTTACTATTACAATTTCGCGTTGAAGGACTACGGGGATGCGACCATGAGCAAACTTCTGGATATGGTCAAGGTCGTGGCCTTCGCTGTGCAAGAGGGAAGAGTGGCAATTCATTGTCATGCCGGTAAATCGATTCTTTTCGATAGGCGCACCGACCCAATTTTTATTTTTACACAGTCCCCTTTCGCCAATAAATAGTCTTCGATTGTTCAATTTCTTAATTTAAATTGCAATCGTTATCTTTTTAAATTGATAGGATTGGCGTGGAAGAGTTTATAGGAAGATGTTATCGCGAACAGAAACGTGCAGTTCCTTCTATCATCATCGTTTAAATAAGCCTTTTAATTCAAGACAATGAAGTCATCGACGTTTTAAACGTTCCCCTTTTACTTTCACACGCCCACCCTTTATCAACCGACGATTTCTAACCTTTGAATGTATCGATTTAAGCCACGTGTGAGACGCGTTCATCCAGAACGAGACCTGTTTTGGTGCATTGCGTGCTACAACACGCGGTGTTAACCCGGTGCATCTGAATTTTCGCATTCATTACGATCTTTCTTAAACCTTTAGCCGAGGACCGCAAAAATTATACGTTGTATGGGCTACGTGGAGAAAATAGGTAGTGTAGGAGCGGTCTGTTATTATTCCCAGTTCATATCGAGAAGCTCCATTCAATTTATAAAACAAGAGAAAAAATTCGTATTATTCTTTAATACTAGAAATATTATATTCGACGAAATGTTTATGTATTTGCTAAAAACACGCAGTTGCTTTTAGCGAAATTGATATTCACTTTTACAGGAATGAAACTTTCATTATATATTTATTTATTTTCATGCAGATCTATATTTATATGTACGCAGCT